AGGGCGGGACCCGGCGTACGCCCGCGGGCCCTTGGGTGTAAGGGCGTGCGGACAGGGACCGGCCGGCGCTCACGAGTGACCCGACAGACTGTCGTGGCCGTAAGCCCGTTCTCCGTCTTTCTGAAGCACGTGGTAGGTCTCTTGCACAAACCTCCGCTCCTTTACCTAAAGCCGTCCTTTTTAGGTGTGGGAGGGAGGTGGGGTTTCACCCCCGTGTCCCTGTCCTGGGAACAGTTCTCTCTCCGGCACACCCCAAGGCTGCTATGCTAAGGTCTCATATCTGCCTTTAAGCTTGAGGACGCTAGAGCTTTCTAATCCTCTCTTTCTGTTACAGCCCTATGCATAGTGTGAGAGAGGCATGACTTCAAATTTTAAAGGCATATCCTGCTTTGGCTATTGTTTGGGTTTTGGCATAAAAGCGTTGTTTGTTGTCCAAATGGCATTTCTGATCAATTGTGGTAAGAAAATAGTTTTCATTTGCAGCGAAAAGCCGCATGAAAAATACTTCAAAAATGCTTCTCTTCGGTGTTTATGAAATGCTGGTGTTTTGTGCTTGCTTTAATCCTGAGGAAGCCAGCTGTCTTTTGTAGCAGTAAAATAGAATGTGTTCATTATGTTGGTGAGAATAAAGCGTGCGTTGTTGTACTGTGGTGCATTAACGCTGTCCTCTCTTGTGGAGACCAGCCAGTTCTGCTGAGCCTGTTCAGTAACCTCACAAGTACTGTCTCAAGTACTTTCATTTTGTTTAATGCTGTCAGATGTAATATCTTCAACTGATAGCAAAATAAACACTCTTTGCTAATGCCTTTTCTTTTTTTCATTGCACTTTTCTTCTCTTCCCTGTTTCTTTGTTTTGTTTTGTATTGTTTTATTGAGAGCTTGTTTGACCAGCACTGCAGCAGCAGTAAGGCATTATTGATATTAGGAGTCAGCTCTGTCAATCCACCCCCTAATTGCTCTTTTTAATCTAGCTTATCTCTTTGCGTGTGAATTAAGCTTTTCTTTTTTCCAGTTGAATTGCACATTGGTTTAGTTATGTTACTTGTTTGTGCTCACATTGTGTTGGAATTCAGACTTGATCTAATCACTTGGCAGATATTTAACAAAGAACTACAGGTCTGTAACTCAAAGTGTCCTTCAGACTTTGGCTCTAAACACGGTGGCTGCAAAGTGTGGAAGTGCAAATAAGCCGTAAATGAAGGTAGATATCTGAAGACATCGGTGAGTTCTGAAATGTGCAGGGCATGACAGCTAAACTTGACTTCTCTTGCAGATTGATAGGCAGCAGTTTGAAGAGACTGTCCGAACACTGAATAACCTCTATGCAGAAGCTGAAAAACTTGGGGGTCAATCTTACCTTGAAGGGTGTCTCGCCTGTCTGACTGCCTATACCATCTTCTTGTGCATGGAAACGCATTATGAAAAGGTGCACTTCTTTTGTTTACCTTGTTACTTGGAAGGCAGTATGTCTCGTAGACTTCAGCCAAAGACTTATTTCTTGGTAGGATTTCTGTGACTTGCACCATTGTCCTACAGATTCCATATAGACTCTGGATCTTACTGCAGAGTGATTTCACATATACATCAGACAGATTTGTCTATATTAGTCAATTTGAGTAACGTAATGATTGCTTGTACTTCAGAGGAATCACGCAAGTTCTGCCTCTAGTTGTGTGCTAGGCTCTCCTAACGTTGCTATATTTGTGATATTGCTGGGGCTCTGACTGTTAACATAGGGAAACCTGACTAAGGAACTGTGACTTCTGTGCTGTTCTGTTACCAGGTTCTAAAGAAAATTGCCAAGTTCATTCAGGAACAGAACGAGAAGATCTATGCTCCTCAGGGCCTCCTTCTGACAGACCCCATTGAAAGAGGACTAAGAGTTGTATCCTTCTGTGGTTTCTTAGATTGTCTCCTGGTTTGTCCATTTATGATGTGCTACCTGTTTATCTCAGTATGGCACCCTGTGGTCATGCTTCATCTGTGATACGGCAGAATATGTGATTAGTCTTGTTACTCTCCATTGTGTACTCTCCGTTGTGTACTGTTCTCTGGTCAGATTTTAGTACGTTAAGATTTGTCACATCAAAAGGCAATGAAAACGCAGTATGGGAATCTGTCCTTTGAGACTTCCTTGGAAACGCAGTATGTATAAACGGAGTACTTCCAACGCTTTAGATGCTTCCTCTATTTCAGTGACTTCTAAAAATGAAGTTTGTCCAATTGGAAAAAAGTGACCAACTTGGTAGGATAGAAATTGATAATGTGAAAGCAAGAGATGGCTGTTGCTTAATTTGCAACCCTCAGCTCAGGTTCAGGTGAAGATTTCTCCATATGACATCCCTTTAAGTTGATACCAGCCTAGCACTTGCTCTTGGTTCTAGCATGGCTTATTTTAACCTTTTTTCTTCAACTCTTGAACCACACTGAAGGCATTTTATCTAGTTATTACCTTAGCAGCTGTAAAGACCTCGCATAGCAAATCTAGGGATAGAATGAGTAACACGTATCATTTTTTGAGAATGTTGAAACCGAAGCAACTTTAAGCAGAGAATGCCAATTAAATGTGTGCTAAGGCTAATTCCTTGCAGTTGGGTTATTTGTGTATTCATCTAAAAAGCTTATAGCTGTCACCTACATGACTTCATTATTCTCAAATGTTTTCCACATTTTTCTATGCATACACCTCCTGAAAAAAAACATTCAACTTGAGTAAAAGCATTTTCAGTTTTGTTAGTGACTTAGCAGCTGAACTGTAGAAGTGTTAACTTTTGTCTAGTGCATAGCCTTTCCTGAAATTTAAGAGAAGGTGGCAAGGCTCACAAACCCTCCATGCACAGCATCTTGTGTTCTTGTTGTCAGGACAGTCCTGGGCTGGATAGACCACTGATCTGACCTGACAGGGCATCTCTTATGTGTACTGTTCTGTTTACTTTGTAGCTCTGAAACTAGCCTTGAAACAGCAGGTATGAAGCAGAAGGATCAAAAGTTCTAGTATCTTAATGTTTTTCCACTTTTTTTTTGTTTTCATAATCTTTTTATAGTATGTTTCCCTAACAGCTTTTCTGTGCAGATTGAAATTACCATTTATGAAGACAGAGGTATGACCAGTGGAAGATAAAACTGTGGAGTCTCAGGTACATGTTAACCTTATACTAGATCAATCTCAACCAATCTCAACCTGTTTTCTATGCTCAGAGGGGTAGATTCTGTCATACTGAGACAGAACGTTTATCCCATCACCGTTATGTAATCAAAGGCTGTTCACATAGATCTTGTGTGGACTAGGTTTTCCGAATAAGTAGAAATACCAATACTTGGCATTATGCCACTGAATGTTAATACAGATCAGATGATACCAGATTTACCTTTAGAGAACTTCAGGTCTTGATTGTGTAAATATCCATTAAACCTGTAGTATGTCCAAAATCGTTCTCCTTTCTGTAGATAAAAATCTTTTTTTATTCTCTTGAAGCTTTTCTGTCACAAGGTTCCGAGCAGACAAAACTTAAGACTAACCCTTAAATTTGACTTTAAAATAGGTCACTATTTAAATGCTTATTTTGGATCCCCAAACAGTTTTCAGACTAATAGCATAAGAGAGAAATACTCAGGGAAAATCGTTGATGGTGCTATACTAGCATCTGCTCTTCCTATACTGCTGTGAAAGATACAGCCTTTCCTTTTGAATGTTTTCTGTGATACCTCAGACCAGGGTCTATTTTAAAAGCTTCCATGTTTCGAGCACTTGTGAAATCAGGGTCGTAACCACAGCATGTGAAAGATCCCCTTGTATTTTGCCTAGAAGTCAATATTATTAGTCCCAGAATCCTGAACAAATCAATGTGAGTAATTACATTTTACCTTCGTGGTTCTAAGTATATAGAAGATTCACTTCTATATGCTGTTGAATGGCAGCTTTTCTGTTCCAGAAGGGACTGAAAAGAGAACTACTATTGCCTGGGGTGATACTTTGGTTTCATGTGCCAAATGGTGGGATTCTTCCAAACCTCTTCTGCTCAGAAATGTTTGATAAGATACCGTATAAATACACTGTATCTTATCTGCTGTCCTGAATCTTTGAATATGGCATATTCCAAGAGTCAAATCTTACACAGCCTAAAGGGAAAATGCAAGTAACTTACTTGGTAGTATTACTAAATTCTTTCAGTGCTTTTTCTAACCTGCCTCTGCTACACATCTCTAGGATGTCTCTTTTGGTAGCCTGCTTATGATTGACCCATATTTACAGTGCATATAAACCAGATTAATCTACTGCAAGCTGGAGCAAGCCATGACAAGAAGTTCCGGTAAAGCAAACCGGTGAAGATTCTTGCTGATGCATACCTGTTTCTAAACAACTCTGGCTTGTCAACTTGGCATTGTTTGTAGATGCCAATTCTGTCTCAAAATAACCTTCTTTATCTGGTTATTAGCACTTGGGAATCTGTTGTATTGCATGGCACTTGTGTTCTGCTGCTGGAATAAGTTTGTGTTTTATCAACTGCATCTGCATATATTTGGCACAAGCCATTTGTCATGACTCATTTCACCGCAATTACTGCAGAATGTTTTCGTAGGTGATGGGGTTTTGAGCAATTACATGAAAGCTAGTTCTGTCAGTGTTCAAACAACTGAAATTTCTAAAATGAAGAAAGACTTGTATCGTGAAGTTCTGGATAGTTTGATGAATTGCAAATATTTGTGGTCAGTAAACATCTGTTTTGAAAGCAGTATGAGTACCCAAGTAAGCCTAATCTGGAACTGGAGCTTTATTAGGTATTCATCTCCTCATCTGTAACCTAGTCATTTGGAGCCTGCATACTGTCCTGGATGATCTGTTCATGAATGCAGCCTGCATGGCCTCTACAAAATGTGGACTGTCTTTCTATCCTGTATAGTGGCAGAGGATATGACTCTGGCTAGGAATCTTAAGACTTCTAATGGTCTCTGCAACATCTGTGTAAATTCAGAGGAACTCTGAGATCTGCTACTGTATTTGAGATCTTATCCTACCCAATAGTTTTCAGTGGAAAAATCTTTGCATGACTCTGTCCCTGAGTGTATTCTAGCATCCAAAACCTTTTTCTATCCTGTATAGTGGCAGAGGGTATGATTCTGGCTAGGAATCTTAAGACTTCTAATGGTCTCTGCAACATCTGTGTAAATTCAGAGGAACTCTGAGATCTGCTACTGTATTTGAGATCTTATCCTACCCAATAGTTTTCAGTGGAAAAATCTTTGCATGACTCTGTCCCTGAGTGTATTCTAGCATCCAAAACCTTTTTATCGCTGTTTTTTGGCTGGATGCTGTTCCAGTTCTCACTTTGGTATCTTTACTCGTGATGCTTTCAGTTAAGAGTGGCCAGCAACTTCTAGCTTTGGTAGCTTTAACTGGAAAAAGTTGCTGAAAGGCACTTAGTTTTCATGATACTGTGTGGCAGAGTCACAAAGTGAAAAGGGTGCTCAGAGTGCTTGAAAGAGAGAGGCTAAAATAAAGGATCATGCTAATTGCATGCAGTATAGAACTGCAAAATTACTATCCCTGAGTTTCAAAAATACCTACTGAACTTTCATTAAGCTTTGGTTTTGAAAAAGCTCAAATTTGAACTGGCTCCCTTGTCTTAGGTACTCTGCAGATCCTGGGATGGTATTCTAGGTCTAGGTTGTTGGCAATGTGTGCAGAAAAGAGATTGGAAATATTTATGCCTGTTACGCAGAAAGAAACAAAGAAGTAAAGGTCTTTATTTCCTGTTAGACAAATGAAATCCAGAGTGTTGGCTTCTGTTCCTGCTACTCTCACCACAGCACGTGGTAACCATACCTTTCCTGCTACATACCTCCTAAGACAACAAAATATAGCTATGTAAAGGTTTGTGTAGGATTTTGTTGGTTTTATTTAGTAATAGTTTCTAATAATATGAAATTTCTTTTCTAGCAGATAGCTCAACAGTGGACTCGCTGTATCAAAGTTCCCCTACCTCCTACTTTAGAGCATCATTCCTTTCTCTGCTGCCAGATCCACAGTGCCATCTACTACAAGGACTAACTTCCTAAAACTGCTCCACATGGGGTGACCTGGCTGGTCAGCATCCATTTTGTGGCAAACTTTTAAGTAATGAGATCACTTTTTAGTCTTTTTCAAGAAAAAGCAGAAGTGGTAAAGCTACGTACTCTTCTGAAAGAAATGGGCACTTAGCCCAACGGAAGTCTAGTTTTAGTCACGTAAGTGCAGTGCTGTTCCTCCCTAGTTCTTAAACTCTTCTGTACATCAATCGGGCTTTGGAAAGCTACAAGTCAGAGTTGGGAATTTTCCAGAAATGAGGCCTTCCCTCCAGTTCAGTATTGGAGTGAGGGGATACACAGTGCCTCTGACTGGCAAGAAGTGACTCAAGGCAACAAGCGTTTTACGTTTCCTGTGCTGATTCTTGTGGAAAACCAGAAGGCAAAGTCTTACTTGTTTCAATGTTTTGGTTGTTCGTAGAAGGGGGAGGAATAGCCGGACTTTAATCCTGGTGTTTTTTCTACTACTGTATCTGCGCTGTTATTGCATCTGTCAATGCTCACCAGAAGAGGGGGGTCTATTCAATCATAAAACAGTAAGTATAATAAAATGGATGCTGAACCAATAAACATAACAATTCCTACCCTACTCTGATTAATGTGAAGTGTAAAACTGTTTCTTTATGGATTTATTATATATAATTTATAGGAAAACATTGATTTGACAAACTGTTAGATGTTGTGTAAGATGGTTTCTTAATTCTATCTGCTGGCACACTATTGAAAAGTAGAACTGTGCATTATTTAGTATCCCCTGTGCATCGACATTCTCAGCAATACCTGCAAAAGTAAAGTTCCTACAAACCAGGCTGGCTTAACATTTTTTCTCTTATCCTTTTCCCTTATCAAAGCAAGGATGTCCTAGTTTAGGTTCTGAGCGTCACTGTCCAATTATAGAAGGAATTCAAGAATATAGAAAAGGAGAAGACTGATGCAGAACAGGTCGAGTGTTCTGGCTTTTGGTGGTGCTGTAGGTGCTAATACTGGATCTGAAATTCCAGGCTTATTACTCAGCCACCGATTTCTGTTTTTTTGAGATTTAATACTTTAACTGTATAAAATTTGTTTTTTCTAAACTGTAACAGTGTTTGCCTTTCAAATCTGTTGCAATATTGGCGGAAGTACTAATGGATTAGTAAATTTTTTCTTAAACTGTGTCCGTGTCATATTTGATAGCACTGCTTTGCATAAAGTAGCTCTATTGGTGAGACTTTTGCTCCTACAGTAGCAGGGTCTTGGTTGGGAACAAACAGAGCTACCATCATTTCAAGATCAGTTCCTAAGCCGCAACTGTTTTGTCCGCTTTCAGTATAGCTTTGTTTTTCAGCGGCCTTCCGCGGCTGCTGGCCGCACAGGGCTGTGGCGGTTCACCCCGCCCCGAGGCCCGCCGCGCCGCCGGCCATTTTCTTGGGGGTGGGGCGCCTGCGCAGTGGCGTTCACCTGGGCCGCGCGGGCGCCTGCGCAGTGGGGCGGATCCGGGCTGCGCCGGGCGGCTGCGCAGTGGGCTGGACCGCGCATGCGCGGAGGGCCGTAGCTGTTGGCGGGAGGCTGTGGCGGGATGGCGAGCGGTGAGGGGACGGAGGGGGACTCGGATGGGGGCAGTGAGGAACTGGTGCTTACCCCGGCGCAGCTCATCCACAGCCTGGAGCAGGTAGTGTGGGCTGGGGAGAGCGGCTGAGGGCCGGGCCCCTGAGCTCCCTGGAGATATCTGGGGGGGGTGACTGCAAGCTGGGCCCTGGGCTCTGTGGGGGAGATGTGGGGCGGCTGGGGGCCGGGTCCCTGGGTTCGCCGGCGGAGGTGGGAAGGGCTGAGTTTCTGGTCTCTCTGGGGTCTGGGTCGTATAGCAGGTGCATTCCTCACTTTTACATATAGTGTGCCTTCTTTCAGGCCTGGCTGAATGAGAAGTTTGCCCCAGAGCTGTTGGAGAGCAAACCTGAGATCATTGAGTGTGTTGTGGAGCAGTTGGACCATATGGTAGGTTCTGCTGGGCTAAGGTGGTGGTACAGGCAGGCCCTGGTTGCCTGGCCTGGCAGATACATGCTTGGGTCCCTCTGGGATTGCCAGGATTGTCTGCTCCTCTGTCCCTGAGATGAGGCTGTTCTCAGTACCTTCTTTGAGCTTCTCTCAGAGAGGGGACTGAGAGATACAAGGAAACAGCGTGCTTTGTGTCACCAAAAGCAGCTACAGTCTGTTTTTGTGGGCCCTATGTACAAAACCTATCTTCCTCTCTATTTCTTGTTGTTTGACATTTCAACCATTTAATTTCTCTTTGTCTTTCCTTGCAGGAGGCAAACCTGAAACGGGCAAAGAGAGGAGACTTGAAGGTCAGCGTTCACCGCATGGAGATTGAAAGGATCCGTTACGTGCTCAGCAGCTACTTGCGATGTAGGCTTGTGAAGGTAATACTTGCTTGTGCTGCCCAGGGGATGAAAAAGGGTGACTTCAGGAATGATTTTTACCTATACAATGCCTCCTGCTTCAGCAAGGCACTTAGTTAAAGCACGCTCCATCTCTCTCTGTCTCTGTCCTCCGAAGTGCAACCCAAAGGAATTCATTCCTTGGACACGCTTTTCTGTTGTGATGAAGGAGGATCACAGCATTGCTATGAGTGTTTTCTTACCTCATCTAAGTCCAGGATGGCACAATTGAATGTTTGCATGTTCTGCCTGGGTCCTGCCAGGTACACATACGGTTGTGCAGCTTGGAGACCCCAGCTGACCATATCGCTGCTAATTCAGGAGCAGGTATTTGGGCAGGCCTGCAGCTGTTGCATACATCTGTACAGCAGTGGACTGCTGCTTGTAGGGGAAGCCTCTGGGGAGTGGGTATTGTAGGCGCTGAACTACTGGGAGAGGTCTGTTACGGTCTTTTGGGGTTTTGTTCCGATATCAGATAGAGAAGTTTTTCCCCCATGTCCTGGAGAAGGAGAAGTCTCGAGCCGAAGGGGAGCCTTCCATTCTATCACCGGAGGAGTTTGCCTTTGCTAAAGAGTAAGTAGGTTTTACATGCATCTCCCTCCCTTTTTATAGGTTATGGAACTCACCTGTGTGTTACGCTGAACAGGTCTGTTCAGCCTTAGACAGTTAGCCTTAGACAGGTTTGCAGTAAGAATCACGTGTCTTACCAGGAGGTTTCCTTATGGACAAGGAAAGAGGTGAAATAAAATAACTGGTAACTGTGAGCCAGTTACCAGGGCAAGCCATTAGGCTTGGCTCTGGCCATGCCTGTGGGACCAGGAGATGTCGCTTGCTGGCGTTTTGAGTCAATACTCTCCCTGCAAATCTGTATTTGATTAAACCAGTAAATGCTCCAATGATTTATTTCAGGTACATGGCAAACACAGAGACTTATCTGAAAAACGTGGCCCTAAAACACATGCCACCCAACCTGCAGAAAGTGTCTCTCCTAAAATCAGGTGAGTACATCAAGACTCCAGGGTAATCTGAAAATTATAGCAGCAGGGGTGTGGGGAAAGCTCTGGGGAGCGTGAAATTTTAAGGGCTAGTCCTCCAGCTGGTGCTTGGTAGAAGCAGAAATGATGGGATGAGTGTTGTAACACTGCTCTGCTGCGTGGTACACGTCTTGATGCTGCTGTCCCTTGGCACTGCTGTCAGAGGATCATGCTGGCTCCTGCCAAGTCTTGTCTTATGCTGAGGCAGTGCACACTACATCTGATCAGAAGTGTCTAGCGTTTCCTTTACTGGCCATGAGTGTGCTGTCCCTCGTACCCCTCTGTTAGCTCGGTGTCCTGCAGAGGAACATAAGCGAGTGCTGAGCTCGTGCTCTGAATCCGTTGTCTGCAGTTCCGAAGCCCAACCTGGACTCCTTTGTGTTCCTGAGGGTGTTGGAGCGTCAGGAGAACATCCTGGTCGAGCCAGAGACGGATGAGCAGAGGTAGGTGGGCGCTTCCCCATGTGGTGCACGTAAATAAGTTAGTTTCACAAAAGCGGCGTGGGTTAAAGCAAAACAGGAGAGGCAGCTTAACTTCCCATCTGTCTCTGGCAGAGAGTACACCATCGACCTGGAGAAGGGCTCGCAGCATCTGATCCGGTACAAGACCATTGCCCCGCTGGTGGCCTCGGGAGCGGTGCAGCTCATCTGAGGGGCGAGCGGTAAGTGCAGGGCCAGGACCGCAGGGGCACCGGGGGGCCAGCCGCAGGGCCCGCGCCGCCAGCTGCCGTGCCCCCCGCGGTCCCACGGCCGGAAGGTGGCGCGGGGGCGGCGCGGTGGAGCGGGCCCCGGGGGCGCGGGGGGCCCCGCCGCTGCAGCTGCCGTGACCCCCGCGGTCCCACGGCCGGAAGGTGGCGCGGGGGGGAGAGTGAGGGGCGGGGACGGCAGGGGCGCGGGGGGGCCACCCGCTGCAGCTGCCGAGCGGGCCATGGGGCCGGGCCGTGTCCCCTTCGGGCGTGGCATGGCTGGGCAGGGCAGCAGCGGTGTTGGAAGGGGTACCCTTGAAAGCATGCAAATGAATCAGCAGGGCAGCTTTCCCTCTGCTGGTGCAGAGGGGTTCGTTGCCCCCACAGCTCATCAAACTCCTAATTGCTTATGACATTTCTGGAATACAGCCAGACTCCTTTCCCTGCTGCTCCTGAGCGAGGGCAGTCTGTCACAGCACTCCCTCCAACAAGGCTTTGCAGCAGCCTTGCCACAGTCCCCTTGGAGTCCCGAAGGAGGGAGGAGTGTAGGTATTGCCTCTCCAGATCCGAGGCTGGTTTGACAGCACATGTGGACAGAGCGCATCTATCCTCAAAGGTGAATACAGCCTTTGTAAATAGCAGGGTGCTCTCTTTTTAAACCTGCAGCTGTGTGTTCATTCCTGTTCCAGTTTAGCATTGTTCTTTAAATTAGGCTATCGGATGGAAACTGACTGAATGGTGTGGCAACCAGCTATGTAAACTCCACCTTCCCCCATCAGCTTTGATCTCGTCACAGGGTCTCTGCAACCCTGGATGTTGTGCAAATGGCTAATTGCTCTGAGGTGAACCAGGGGGATACTTCTGCACCATATTTGCCACATGATCCATTGAGCAAAAAAACCACCACACACAAAGGTATTTGCTGGCAGAGCAAGTCTTGGTTCTTGCAGAAGGAGCAGGAGGGATTGGGAACATGTTAAGGATGGAAACTGCAGCTCAGCGCAAAGGGAATGTCATGGGCGAGCAGGGGAGAGCCATAGGGTCCTGGTTGGGGTGCTTAGTACCAGCGCCTTACCTGCAGTGGGAAGGGAGGGTGAAGAGTTTACCAAGTTTGTTCCCTTTGTCTTTCTGACAATATCAGCTGGGAGATGGCCATGAGCTTAGGAATTCAGGGTTTCTACTTGCCTCAAGTTTCTCCCTTGAAGCATTGTTATGCAGGCCAAACAGCAAGTCTGTCCTTCCTTGGAAAGGCCCTGCCTTTGGGGAAGGCAGGCTGCACAAGCTTTGTTCTGCTTATGCAGCCTGTGTCCCAGTGTGGATACAGTTGTGTCAGTACAGCCCCTTCTAATATGGCCAGAGAGGAGTATGCTGCTTTTTCCTGGCATTCTGGTAATAATAGCACTATCCTTGTAAAATATCCACCTTTGCCATTACAGGTATCTGAGATTTGCCTGCAGACTAGGCCTGGATTTGGAATTGCTGCCTGGACCTTGTGCTGATAATGGCATTTCTTTCCCTGGGCCAAGGATTGAGTGCCTCCAGGAGCCACGGGCAGCTGTGTTTTCTCTGATCAGATTGTGAATGGTGCAATTGGAATGATGCTTTGGAAATGTCAGACAGCATTTGCAGGATTGTCACAAACCTCTTCTTAACCAGAGCAACTGGTTCACGTTCAGGGTGTTTGTGCCAGAGCCATGGGGTCTTCATACTGTTTCAGTCTGCAGTTCTGCTACATGCACAGACTGTGCGTAAAGCCAACACCAGAGCAGATCCTGCACAGAGGATTTAAATGCTGCTTTTTCAGCCTTTTCCAACCTGCTTCCTTGGACTGGCTGACTTCAGGGAGATTGCACCACTATTACAGCTAATCCTCAAGCTCAAGGCTGCCTTGGTCAGTGAACTCCAGAGCAGGTAGGGCCTTTGTACAGGATGGCCTGCATGATCAGCAGCTGAGCACTGTGGAAGAGCTCTGAGGAATTTTGTAAGCTTGTAGGGGCTTGTGGTGCCTTCATGTTGTTTAGAAAGATATTGGAGCATGAGGCTGGCAGAGCTTTCCCAGAACAGTCTCTTGCTGCAGGATGAGAATAGGAGTCTTGTTTTTGCCTCGCCTTCTATGCTTTGTGTGTTATTCGTGCTGCTTCCTATCAGGCCAGTGCTCTGTATTTGATTTCTGCAGCAGAGCATTCAGCTCCCTGTGCAGGGAGACTTGGATCAATAGAACAAGTGCAAAGTGACGAGTCAGAGCGCGTTTTCTGGAAAGCTTCAGTGTGTAGCTGCTGGGATGCCTTATTTAAGACCAGTGGTGTTCAGTTTCACTAAAACGGAACAACTGTAATCATGGGCTCAGGAGAAAGCAGCTTTCTGCTATGCATGATCTGAAGACCCACCCTCCACGGAGTGAGGGGTTCTGGTACAGCTTCTGATTGTGGTTGTGAGGGTAGAAACTGTCAAACTCCCTTCTGCTGAAACAGCTGCTGGGGCAAGGGAGACGAACAATTCCTTTGTGCTGGTCACAGCACTGTGCGTGCCTCTTCTAGTTGGAGAAGAAGCCAGGGTGTCCCGTGCTACCTCAGCTCAGTGCCTGTCAGGTGTGTGGACAGACAGTGGCTTGTGTTCCTTCAGGGCAGGGTCTTCCCTGCATGGTGGTCTGTGTGAGGAACAGCCTGGTGCTCCTCTGACACTCTCCTTCCTCTGCCAGGCAGGGGGTGACACAGTGCATCTTGTAGTGTGAGTGGCTTTGCGTGTGTGGTTTATAGTGTTCCTAATGAATCCATTTAAGTAAAGAAGATTCTTTTAAGTATAGACATTAAGAGGAGGCTGGTTTTAATCCTTAGGAATCAGTAGCACATACCCCTGCGCAGCCCCCCAGGAAGGGCTGTGGATTGTGCCCTGCCCCTATCTACAGCCCAGGCAGCGTCACAGAGGTGACTGAAGCTCCCAACCAAAGTCGTCATTAATCTGCTGCTGCGGAAGCGTGCTATAGAAGAGCTGCTTGGAGAATGTCCAGGTGGCATGTCTGGCAGACTTTCTCCTTTGCCCTATTAAGTTTGACTGAACAATTGTCCAGACAGCTAGTACTTGCCTCACCACTGCATCTCATGTGGCTGCAGCAATGTGAGCATAAGGGGTGCTTGCCGTCTTCTGGCAGCTGTATCTTAACTGGATCTGATTTCTTTCCAGAGTGCCTTTGATACAGCTCCTCTCTGGAGTCTGACAGCTGGCACATGGCAACATCATCACAGACTGTGCAGGATTTTTGAAGATGGCTAGTAGGCCGAAGTCAGTCAGGCTAATAGTGAGATTCAGTTTTGGCATACCTGAAGATGCTGCTGTCTGCTTTTTGTGTCCTTCCATGACTAAATACCAAGACACTTTTGGGACTGGATACTGCCTCACTGCTAACACTGTGCCTCTGTTCGTCTTCTTGGGGGAAGATGAAGTGTCCACAACTTTGTCGAGGAAGTGATGCTTTTGGCTTGTACTTTTAGATGGAGGAGAAGACCTGGCAGTCCATCCACCTTAATCTGTGCCTCTGGAAGAGAATGTGCAGAGTGGGAGCATCTTTTCCAACTTCCGTGGGGTCTGCTGTAAGGCTTGAGCTCAAATACATCCCCTCTTCTCTGCTCCCTCCGAGGTGGAGATAGCTTGGGTTTACGAAGTGATTAGCTCTGAATGCAAAGTAGGTGGATGGTGAAAGAGGTCGCAAGGAGGGCACTGATGGTGAGCTGTGATTTCCCAGCCTGAGCCGGATCTGCTCTCCTGAGTGCAGGAGAAGGGTGAGGCAAGCTGTTGCATTGCTAGGAAGCCTCTTTCACGTCTGTGTTGACTCCCCCAAGTCACTGAAGTTGGGGGGAAATGCACTGTCAGCCTGAGAGGATGTGATGAAAGGATGATTCTCGGAAAGCAACTGCTGAAAATTGACTCATCGCCTGCATTGTATGTGCTGGAGGGCATCTGTGCTTGTAAGCATGTGGAGTCATCTAGTATGCCACCCATCACAACAGTGCACAGGGGGACTGTCTTCCCTTGGGCCCCAGTCGTGTGTGAAACGTGGAGTGTGGAAAACATGTCCCTGGTATTTTTCTGTGGGCTTTCTCTTCCACTGCCCTGGTTAACCCTGGCTGTAGGCTGCTGTGCTTCTGGTGACAATAGCTTTCCCAGAATTGAGAAATGTCTGCGTTAGAGCTGGTATCAAGGGAATTGTTCCTCTGAAAGTCCCATCTAGGAAAAGTAATCCAAAGGTGGTTCTATTTCTTTTTTCCTGGCTATCTACAGGAAAATGATCTCAAATAAATAACGTGATTCAGTGAGGAGGATTATTCCTTAGTAGCAATAACTACCTACACAAACTTTCCTACACAGTGGGGAAACAACTGGAAATTCTGTCGGAAAAAGCTTCAAGTACTCAATGGTTCAAAAGCAGACAACTTGCGAGACTATGAGCAAGAGCCCTTAGTTCAGAGAAGGGGGGGGGCAGTTTGCTGTCACAACCTCAGGAGATGTTGCTTGGGTTTGTAACTGGGGCGGTTGCAGCCACAGTTAAATCTTGCAGGGGTGAGTACGCCGTAGCCGATCCTCCAGCTGACCTCTGTGGAAGGATGTGGCGCTGCCTGTCTCCGAGGCTGGCCTCAGAAACGGGGAACGCTGCTTCTAGCTTGGGCCTGAGCATGGTCACCAGTCAGGGCTTCAGCTTGAGGCTTCTGGCACAGCATGTCGGCTGCGTGCTGACAGCAGGAGGTCTGGCCTAGGCCCAGCAGATGGACCTGCTCTGATGCTGGCCAGGTGGAGGACTGGTACCCAGGAGCACTGGGCAACAGCAGACACCTCCAGCTCCTGCAGGCCCAGCCAGACGAGTGCATCTGGCTCCTGGTCACCCACAAAGATCGCCGTCCTGCTCCTCCCCAGGGAGGAGTGTCTGGCCAGCAGTGACGCGAGTGCCACACGTCCTTCTAGGGGATGGTGCTGCTTTGACTCTCTTGCTTCTCTTTCTCATGTTTTTGCTGACTGAAGCCAGGGCTGAACTGCAGATTTTTGCCAGCCAAGCACTGGGTTCAAGCTCACCTCTCCTGGCTGTCCTGGAGAGGTGTCCTGCATTGTGCTGGAGGCATTCAGACACAGTGGCGATGGAAAGCCATGTATAAATACTGATAGGTAGGTTGTGTCATGAGCTGATGAAAATCTGTGCTGTCAGCAGGAACAATCAGGGCTGCTTAACATAAATGGCTAGACAGCTCTGGAGAGATTAGCAGGTAGTACAGGGCAGGGGTGATCTGATTTAGGTGACAGTCTTTTCTGTCAAGGAGTCACATGTGAGCTAAACAGTGAAGGTGATTTTGAATATAAATGTCAGGGACACTACACTGTCTCTTGCCTGCTCGGGTGCGAGTGAGTTTCTTTTTCAGGGCAAGGAACCAGGGTAAGAAACTTTTGAGTTAGATCCGCTTTTGATAGAGGATGAGTCTCTGATTTTCTTTGTGCTTAGACACCCTGGAAATAGCTGTCTTCAAACAAGCACCTGAAAAGGGGTGTATAAAAACAGTTCAAACCTCCCACCACTGAAGACAATGTGAGAGGAACATGCTTCTCTTCCTGTAGCTTCCTCCAGGCATTGTTAGTTCAGTAAACATTTATCTTCTAAGAGCACTCGCGGTTTTCTGGCATTAGGAGCTTTTTCTGTGCTGCTCCTCCCATTAGCCCACTTTGTAGCTGGGCTCCCGAGGAGAAGGCCGCAGCCAGGAGCGTTACCCGGCAGGGAGAGGATGGTCTCCGGTACCCGGGTCGCTGGGCTGGCTCCGTCTCCGTGCCCCCTTCCCTCGCGGGCTTCGCCGGTCCGGCCCTCGTTAATCGGCCTCGCTCGAGCGGGCTCCTTTGCGGCACAGCATGGGGGGCAGCGCCGCCCGCCCGGTG